TGTTTCACTAGCATTGCACAAAAAATAAAAATTTGTTGGGTGAGAGGGTTTAAAAAGTCTCCCCTCTTGTAATTTTTAAACTATTTCAAATTTAATTTTTACTCACTTTTTTTATTGAACCTAAAACTTTGAATTAATTTATTGATATAATAATGTGATTGTATAAAAATTATTGAATCAGTATCAAGTTTTAATGTTTAATGGAACATGCAATCAATTTAAATGTCACAATAAATTAAATTAATAAATTATATCAATAAATTAAATCTCAATAACATTGTTCAATTAAAAATATTAAATTAAACGTCACCCCTTACGACTTTGAATGACTTGTTCAGCCTTACACATTGCTTGTCCCCATGCCGATTTAATGGTGTAATTAAAGTACCCACAATCTCAGTTCCATTTTTTCAATGGAATGGCAAGTGGCATCACCTACACCTATCTAGACAATTGGTGATTGGTTGTGTTTGTTAACTTTTGGTGGAATTTTATTTTGTACCCTTAAAAATTTAAGTTTTCATATTTTGCACACTTTAAAATAAAATTTGATGAATCTAGCCCAAAACCCAACTCAGATTGTGAGCCCAACTTGAATAAATGATCCACCTAGACAAAATCCAATGGGTCTAACCCAAAAGAAATCTACGCCTAATTAGGCTCATCAAGGCTCTAAAAGTCACTTCATTAAAGAGTAAGCAGAATCATTTTAAGAGCCTCATCTATGTCATCTTAAAGTAAGGAGCAAGGAAGTTAATCACATCATCCTAAGACTTAGTCTTGAGGAGAGTCCCGCAACAGCATCATCCGTTTTGCAGATGACGTCATTTTCACCAAATTAGTTTTTTAGTTACTGATAAGTCACATCAATCTGTTAGGAAATGACTATAAAATGTAAATTTTGCCTACACATGGGGGGCATCTCTCACAATCTGGCATTAATCTCATCTCTCTCATAGCTTGTATCTCACTTGAACTCTCATTGCTTTTGCTTGATTTCCTTACACTCCTACAACAATAAAACACTTAGACAATCCTAGCCCTTTACAGTGGAGTAAGTCACCTTAACCGAACCATTTAAGTTGTATATTGCTTGTGTTGAGTTTCTCTTTATTTTATTATCTGCATTAATTACTTGCCAGGTGGTGTGCAAAACCAATTTGTGCATCATCAAAATTTCTCACATTATATTCTTTTGATGTATTAAAATTATTGTATTGTGGTCCTTCTGTTATCTTTCGTTATTTACTTAGTTAAATTTCATCACTTTGAAATGGACGGGATGAGTAAAGAAAATTAATGAAAGGATTATAGTGTAATATTTTTAATATATTGATGGTACAAAATATACAAAAAACTTAGCGCATATTTGGATTGTATCTCAAAAAAATCTTTTTATTTTTTTTTTTGTAGTGCAGAACTTATTTGGTTATATAATTCAAAAACAATTTTCAGGAACAAAAAAATATAATAAAACATGTTTGAATAGTAACTCAAAAAATAATGAAAATAGAAATGTTGTTTAGATTGATTGTTTCGTAAATAAAATTTTCAAATTATCAACTTGATAAAAGCCAACAAATTAAAAAAAAAAAAGAAGTAAAAATAGGAATCATTTGTTCATTCCACTTCTTCTTCTTTTTTCTGGTCAAATGCATCTTAAAAATCATAAAAATAGGAAATCTTTGAAGATATAAAATAAATTTTTTAAAATATTTTAGTGCATTAAGTATAATTCACGCGTTAACTTTCTAATTGGGAAGACTTTTTTTATTGTTAAAGAAAAGAGTCTAGTTTTTTTTAAGGTAATCAGATCTGCACATTTCATTAGGTCGGAAAATGTTGATCACAATCACTAGACAAAAAAACCTTAAGTTCATGGAGAGGGCAATACACGCAACTCAAAAGAATTGAGTTAGATAATTTCATGGTTGCAATCCAATGAGTTGGTCTGTTAAGAGCCCTTAACTTGTGAACAAAGCTTAAATTAAACGCTGACTTATGTTTTTAACTTTCCCATGTACCCCCAAAAAAAAAAAAAGTGGGGGAGAAAAATTACACGGATAGTCCTCAAAGTTAACAACACTTTTTGTGGGGTTTTTAATTCTTACCAAAAGGTAGAGAGGTGTAATATAAGAATTTGCACCAATAACCCTTTAACTTATCAAAATATAATTAGAGGTATCAATATAATTTATCTTGAATAGTATTCAATTTTCCAAGCTCTTGTGGTTTGTCCTCTCGGTAAGAAAAAGGATAGCGTGCTTGATAGTAACAAGGCATAGACAATTAAAATATGCATGTATCATCTGGTGTGTTTTCATTAAAAAAAAAATGAGGCGCGGGCAACATAGTTAAATTGAATTGGGTGTTAGAATTTATTAATCCTTCCAATAGGACTTGGAGTAGGTTGTAAAAGAATGACATCATAGCTTAAAATTTTGTACGTATTATAAGGAAGAAATTCCTCCTTCAAGTCTCCATTCTAAATGGGAAAAAGTTTTGTGGTTGGTGAGAAAAAAAAATATTTAGTTAGGGGTTCAATGAATTTTCCTTGTAGTTGGCAAGAAAAGTTCCTTTTCTGTAGGAGTTTCTCGGGGAGGAATGAGTTTCGTGACTTCAAATTTTGGCAATCTCCCAAGTGAGGTCATAAGAGAAATTAGTCAAAGTGCATTGTCTAAATATTTTTGACCGTTGAATAAAAAAAAAAATATATATATATATATTGTTTGATAGTGTTTTTTTTTAAAATATGTCTCTAGGAAAAACCCATAATTTTATCAAGAAAAATAAATCATATTTAATTTATATATTTTACAAATAAGTTTACTATATAAATAATTCATTTATATGTTTGTACATATGAATTTCTCCACATTCTTCTCCTCGGCATCACTCTTGGATTGAATATTGGAAAGATAAAATTGGTAAGGAAAGTTAATCTGTGATTCCGTTGTATATTATCAACTTGGAGTGACAATCATGTTAGATTAAACGGATCCGTGTCGAATTAAGGGGTTCATATCTAAAACTACTCAACACGTATACGAAAAGTCTATTAAATGTGCAAAAATAGTAAAATTAGAACATGAAACATTTATTTAATTGGTTATCTGACCGGACCCATATAACCCACCAAATAAATGGGTCGTTTGGGTCAATTTTAGATTTACACGATAACCTTTTCACACGTGAAAATTATAGACCTATTTGATTCGTTTATCATAAAAAAATTTGTACACACCAAATTCAAACATTTAACTTGTTAAGTATATTATTTTCCTGTTTTTTGCTTTCCATTCCTTTCCTTTCCTTTGTTCTATTGATACACCCCCAATTCAAAAGCAATCAATTGAGCAACTAGCGGGCGTGCTTTTTCTTTAAGCCTCACTGGTAACTTTATTTTTTTGAATCGGCCAAGTCAAGTTTTTTTTTCCCTCCTCATTTCTTATAATAAAACACCACGAATTACATAAATCAAGCAATATAGCGTAACAACTATTGCTCTTAGGTTGAAATGAAAACTCGTACGATAATTGCACTTAGGTTAAACTAAAAGATTGTGCGATAAGAAAGATATTGAGCAGTTTATGTGTGAGTCGCTATCGTCTTAATTGAGGTCGATAGGATAATTTGTGTAAGAACATCCACAACATATGTAATTTGTTGATACATAAATCTTTTTTGGAAAAAATCGCAATAAACCACCCCGTGTTCACCAAGAGCTTAATCCACTATATTTAAAGACAATTTATATGTAGTCTAGATTTATACCTCAACCACTTCTCACGACTAAATGCTCTTTTTTGTCATAACATATCTCCTCAAGATATCACCCACTAAAGACTTAAATAGCTTCACTTGGACGCACTCATCGCAATGAACCATCTAGGCTTTTCGAGCAATCTTCAATGCTTCACACCCAAGGCTCTTAGAATGCACACACTAAAGTGGGTTTTGTTTCTCACCACACAAGATATCTTTCTCCACTATGTGAAGTTGAATATGAATGATCAAAATGATATAGGTTATTGGATCTTAGGGATCTAGGGTTTTTTAAGCTCTCTATAAATGTTTTGGCCTCTGCTAGCTCATAGAGGCTTACCTAGCATGGAAGACTTCCTTCTATTAATAGGCTCGAAATAGGATTTATTTTGGGGATCAAGTAAATCAAAATTTGCGAACAACTGCTCGAGCAATGGTAAAGCGATTGTCAATGGGATGAAAAGATGATTCAAACTAAAATCGAAGAGCACAGACAACTCAAAATACCTCAAAGCAACTCAGAGGGTGGTCTTCTCTGTTCAACACGTCAGTCTTTCCTGATTTTATTCCTAATTGTTTAGAGATTGCTCCAACCAAATTTAAGAGGGTAAAGGGCCGGTCCCTACTAATTTTTAAGCTGAAAACCAAAAAAAACCGTATCTCCTTAAACTCTAAAAGATATTGCCAAAGAAAAGTCATGTAAATGACTTAATCTATTATTTCAAAACACATTTCTAGAGCCCTAATGGTCTTTAGAATCTTGCTGATGGGTCATAAACCTGCAGCCCATAGAGTAGATGTAGAATTGGGCCAAAACAAATGGTCTGTAAAACAAAGCTTGCCGCATCCCAGAGCCCAAAGACTGGTTGTAATAATGGGCTTCAGACACCGTCCATAAAACAAAGCGTATCATCATGACCAGCAGCCCATAGATTAGATGAGGAACTAGACTGCAAAAACTAAGCTTCCAGCTACCAACGGCCCATTTATGCATGGCAGAGTTTGATTTTTGTTTTGAGCGACGAAGAAAAATTATCAGATAAATCACTCTTCCTGTCACCATCCAAAATGTACTATTATTGTAATCCTAACCGTTGAATAATTCTATTTTGATACATTATTAATTATATCAAAGTTTTAGGTCCCAAATAACATTATCCAAAAATGCAGGGGTGTATATATAATATGGATTGTCCAAAAGTACAAATTCGAACATTAGTTATCCAATCCATCGCCAACAGCAATGGCTGTTCTCAACGTCTGCTTGTGTTCCAATCTCCCTCCAAATCCCAAACCCATTCTCTCCACAACCCAAGTTTCCTCTTTGCCCTCCCTACCCACCCACCGTATCCCCCAGGTACTCTTCTCTTCTTTCTCCTCTCAATCTCTGAAAAACTAATTGAACCTGATTTACAACTTTGCCAATTTGACGATACATTCTTTACAGGGTCTGAACCAGCCTCAGGCCTCAAATAATCTTGTATTCTCTTTGGGTGAATCGATCTCCAGAGCAAGCTTTCTCGCTCTTCTCTCTGCTTCACTCGTCTTCGCTGCCGATCCTGCACTCGCGTTCAAGGTATTTAAACCCTTTTGTCTTTCGAAATTATGGAGTAGAAATTGCTCTGAATTTGGTTTTTTGTTTGTTTTTATTGATGGAAATTTGATAATGTCGAAAAGGGTGGAGGTCCGTATGGCTCTGAAGTGACGAGAGGCCAAGATCTCAGTGGGAAGGATTTTAGTGGCAAAAGTTTGATCAAGCAAGACTTCAAAACGGTGTTTACTTTATAATCTGGCACAGCTTTGTCTAATACAAGTTTTATTTATACCTTGCCCTGAAACCTTAGTGAAGGAGATGTCTTCTGTAAGGGCTTGAATTAGCCAGCGAACCGTACCCACCAACTGAGCCAAGGTTATAGGTCGACAAACCATTTTTTTTTTTTCATTTGATGCCACACAGATTTTGACTATGAAATAAGGTTTGGGACCCTTGATTCCTTTATTTGTTTTTTAAACTCTCATTAAAAACGCTTTATAGAAGTCTTCAAGGACATTTTAAAGATAAGATATGGTCGCTATGACCTGCTACTGTTTTTTTTTTCTTGTTGCTTTCTTATTTGGGTTGGAGCTCATGGAGTTTGTGTATAATTTGTGTCAGTCAATACTGAGGCAAGCCAATTTTAAGGGTGCCAAGTTACTCGGAGCTAGCTTCTTTGATTCTGATTTAACAGGTAATTTTCTGTCCTCTGTTTCATATAATGTATGGTCACAATTTCATCCATTGCTACAATATATATAAATTGTCAGTAAGAATATATATTCAGGGTGCTTGGTCCAAGGATGCGTTTTCTTTTCATCTCTCATTTCACTTGTATGTGTAAAGGACAATTTGAACTTAAGATGCGCAAAAATGTGAGAAAAAGTTCTGAGACAGAGGAAAACATGATTACACAGAAAATCTTCACCATGGAGATCAAAGAGGATGGGGTCCAATTGACAAGGTCCCCCGGAGAGCAAGTCCAAGTAGAAGCAAGTAGAGCATGCTTTCTTGGGAAGTAGCAACTAAACTAAATTTGTGTCATGAAAAGAAGTTGTAGAGAAAGCCATAAATGTTCCGAGATCTATCAACATGAAGACATTCCTGACTAACCATTCCATAGGGAATGTTCCTGATATAGTGACCTTGTTCATGGTCACAGCCTAAACTATGATAAGATGAATATGCAAAACAAAGTCATAGCTCAGGATGAATCAAAAGTTTTCAGATTCTTCCAGATATTCCTTTGAGATACTGTGATTCTGTGAACTTTATTGGAGATATCAAGCAGCATGGGCTTAGAAAAGGGGAGGATTCTTCTGCTAAAAAAATAAATAATTTTGGGATTATGGGTGAGTTTTGTTTCTTAGATATTGAGGTTTTCTCTCTTTGGTGGGTAAATTTTCCTACTTCTACTTGGCTTTTCTTTTCTTTTCTTTTCTTTTATTTGGGTTGGGTGGGGTGGGTGGGGGAGTCAGTGGGAATTTGATTGTTTATATATTTTATTTGAAGAAGAGAGTATTACATACCTTCATAGAGGTAGATTCATGCAACCGTCCCCTAACATCTGTTTCGGCACTTGACATGTTTGATGCGAACAGAGTAGCCTTCCAGCTAACTCTTGAGGCTTCACTCTTAATGTCCAGAATAATTTAAGTGAATGCTACTGCCATTTTCCACTTCACATAAGGATTTTCTCTGTTATAATTCTGTTTCCATGTAATCTATGGATCATGTCCTTGTAATCTATGAATCATATCCTTGTAGTTGCATTATTGGCATCATGAACAAAATTTTATCTCAAGGGGGAACAAAACTATATAGAGTAACTTAGGACTGTACTGGGAAAACTGTACTTCTACTATATATATATATATATATAATTTAGTGGAAGTAGATGAAGAATAGTGGAACATAATTCAGTTCCAAATCCAAGTCTAAAATAAAATTGTTAACACCCAAAACATCCTGGCCCAGCTTGGATTAGTTAACAGTCCCATTGGATTTATGACTGGAAGATAAGACTCTGCATACTAGTCAAAATTTTAAACCATTCAAGGAAGAAGGGCACTGCACTGTTCCCGAGTCAAACAGTATATATTTTGTACTTTCCAGAAGCTTGGGAGTGGCAGGGTCCCCCTGGGCCATAGGTTAGTACCGTCACTGATCATATGTTTCATGGTTCAGGGGCTGATCTTTCTGATGCTGATCTTAGAGGTGCAGATTTTTCCTTGGCAAATGTGACAAAGGTGATGATTTTAGTCTCACATTCAATCCAAGAAGTCCTTGCGCATTTTCTTTAGGCATATGTAGGTGTGTTTGTGTTTGCCTATGTGTGTCAAATTTATAAGATTAATGTACTCTCTGGCCATCTATGTCATAAGTAAACTGTATTTGGATTTGGAGTTAGGCTGCTGATGATAGGAGGATGCTAAACTGATATTAAAAAGATAGTCAGAATGGTAGTACACAGCTTCCCATGAAATTATTAGACCTCATTGCCCTTGTCGTTTCTCATTCTGCTGCTCTTTCTGGTTACTATGATCCAGAGTTTGCAGTGTGCCACTATACCACAATTTTGCTTATCTATCACTTTTCTCCAAAAGAATGGCATCAACAATCGTCCAGTTTACTTATGTGAAATATGTTGAAATTCAACCCTCCAGCAACTGGGTGTCCGATCCAGCTAGCATTAGAATGTTTGTGTAGGTCTTTTTCAGATAGTGTTGTGTGATCCATTTATTGTGCATGCATTTCATTTCCTGAGACTCTTTAAATGAATTGGCTAGCTAACTAGAATATGTGTCACTTACCTGAGCACTTTTACTCCCTACTACTTTCTTCCCACCCATTTTTCATTTTCAACAAGGCCACTAATGATGACTGACGTACTATATCAATATGGTTGGACCCCTTTCGATGCATGGTACCTGCTATAATTCTTAACTAGTTCTTCTAGAAATTAATATCACAGGCTCCATTACATTCTTGTGCATGTGTGTACGTCTTTCTGCAGGCAAATTTAAGCAATGCTAATTTGGAAGGAGCACTTGCCACAGGCAACACATCTTTCAAGGGGTCAGTTATAACAGGTGCAGGTATGTAGAATCGACAGTGGACCACTGTTTTCTGACGACAGAAAATGTTTAATTAAGCGTCATGATCGGAAGTATCTGATTCACTATGCCATGTTACTTTCTAACTCTAATGTGACAATAACTTGAAATATATGGTATACCCCTGTATTTCTGGTACTCAAAGTGGACTATGAAGAACCTGTTATATTTTCCCGTTTTGATGAGTACCTGTTCACCTTTTTGGCCTTGTCCTAGGTAACTGATTACGTCATTCAGTTCTTACAACCTCGACCTTAAGCCCCAACTTGCATATGAAGTCTTGATCACTAAAAGATGTTTAAAATGTTTCTTCTGGTATGCGCCAACCCCCCCCCCCCCAAAAAAAAATAAATAAAAAAATAACAGACACCCCAAAAAAGATAAAATGTTCGTCTTTTTAAGGGTGAGAAAAGGAACTCTTTCAATCTTCCTGAAGCATTTCATTCCTTGTTGCTACTTGATCAACGAGGTTCTGGTTAAATGTGTCCAATTTTGAATGCTGTGGCCTTCCCTTCAACTAACAGTTTGGGGAGTCATCAACTTCTTTACTGAAGCTTCATATCTGTATTCCCTGTGAGGCAATGCTTAAAATGGAATTGGGACTGCATCTGTTGTTGAAAATGAAATTAAATTATTCCACTTTCCCGGAAATATTGATATGCAACTTAAACAGTTCTTTGTCATGGTATGTGCTCTGAAGTAGTTGTTGAAAGATTAGAAGCTAGCTTTGCTGATATGTTGTATACATGATCAGACTTCACAGATGTGCCGCTGAGAGATGATCAACGTGAATATCTGTGCAAAGTTGCTGATGGGTAACCTTTACTCCAGTAATTTATTTGCCTTCTAATAAGTGCTCCATTATTCTAATGCCCAAATTGTGTTATCAGGCTGAATCCAGTGACAGGCAATGCAACACGAGACACGTTACTTTGCAACTAGGTATGCTATTATGAAAAATTTGACGTGCTTTAGTACAAGAGCAGAGTTTTGTATGAGTGTGAAGTTATTTGTTGCAAGTACAGTGTGACATGCAATTCATACTAAAAGAGTTCTTTTTTTCTTGATTTATCAAGGAGCATATATGTACTTTATTGATAATATGTTTCTATCATTTCTTAAGTCAGACGGAGGACTCAAGTTCTATTTCAGACTCGTTTAATAAGTTCAATTTGCAATTCTATTGCACGTAAGAATCTGGATATACACCACATCCAGAATCTTTTCTGCCTCTGTAGGGAGGCGAAAAATCTCAGGCATCACACGTGTATGCTTTGACTTCTCTAACATTGGTTATGGAAAGTGAAAGTCGTTTGGTTTAGTACAAAATAGCTTCACATCTCGGTGCTTAAACCTCTTATGCACATGCGCACACACAAATATGCATACAATTGAGAGAAAAACTATTAATTAGGAAAAAAAAATTCCAACTTCCAATATATGCTTTGAGACAAAATGAGACCTGCTCTTTATTCTATAGCTTCTCTGGTGTAAGTTGAATTATTTACATCACTGGGTGATGGGAGAGACAGACCCCTAAGCAATGACAGTTTCCCATTGCTTGCAGCTTCTAATCCTCATCTTCAAGATGCCATTTTTCAAGCTACTAACCTCACAGCACTGTCTACGTGGCGCCTGCACATTTATGTTATGTATGATCTGTTAAACCAAAAGATGTATATGCAGTTAGTAGTTTAGTTCTACAGTGTTGAAATTTGACCCTATCATTTAGAAGCTCCAACGTCATCAGTATATGGTTCTTTTCAAGGTTGTTGAATCCTCCTCTTCAAAATATTTTGAGGATTTTTTTTTTTTTTTTGTAAAATCTGACATGCTAATGTCTTGGATTCGTCAATTGATCATGCCAAAGAGAAGTATGGAGTAGGAATCCTCTGTTTGACGAATCGATTTTCTGTTTAGCTTAGCTCATACTACTCATCTCTTATCTCAATTTATAGAAAATATTTTTCATGGCCCGTGAATCTCTAGTTTCTTGCCCTCTATCTATTCAGGCAACCCGAATACTCTAACGAGAAAGCAACCTACCAACGGATCTCTCCACTTCTGAGAGAGAGAGAGAGAGAGATACCTTATTCCACTCTTCAGGGTCCATCTTCAATGCTGAGACTATAATTCTCTCCACAGCTACTGCACCGGCATAGTCTGCTTTGTCACACTTGTTCTCTGGTTCAACCACAGTCCTCTTATAACTCGTCAAGCTTTTACCATTTCCATTCTCCTTAACCCAATCAAAGTGAAAAATCACAGGCTGCTGGCATGGATCAGGGTTCACAGGCCGGGTATTGAACGTGAAAGGACCGTCACTCCAACTCCTCCACGTCTTAAACGTCTGCAACGGGGTCCCCAAATCAATGGCCTCCAACAAGAAAGGGTATATCTGAACTGTATATCCCCATGAGATGGAGACTGACCAAGAGATTGATGCTGACAATGTGGTATGGTTCCGGTAGTTGCAAAAACATTGCTGCATTGTTCGAGCCGGGTCAACATGGTATGCTTGGACCAGTGTCCTTAACGACTCATGCTGAGTCTGTTTAGGGAACAATGGTAGTACATCATCAAGATGATGGAGTGATACAAGTGGTGCCAGTGGATGTGCTGCTAAGAGGCCATACGGATCGCCTCGAATATCAACCTGGCATATTGCAATGTCACATTGGGAAATTAGTGACATTCACATTCCATGATGAGGGCGAAAAATTGATATTACGCAATCGTTATTGTCCGTCTTTATCAGCCAACAATAACAAAGTTATCTGGTACTATTGCAATCCAATATCAGACCACAGGGTCTGATCCATAAGTTAGAATAGGAATTATGTTTAGTTTACTCTTCTCCTCTATTGATGTAATCCCGTGGTTGTAAAGTGCCATAACATTCAAACTTCAGAGGCAGAGCCAGAAACTGTCTTAAGCGTGGACATTTTAACTAGAATCGACTTTAACATAACGAAAATTAATGCAAATGAAAAAGGTCATTATCAAATGATCATATTAAAATCAATTGTCAATTACACTCGATTCACACGTGCATAGAGATATATGAGGTAAGACGATACATTATATCCTATAAATAAAAGTCCGTTAAATAAAAAAATGATCAAAAGTTAATACACGTCTTATATGAATAAAAAAACTATAAAAAGAAATTAATTACAACTCTTACCGAAATTAAGGCTTATTACATTTATTTATAATCGACCCTCACGCCTTTTTATATTTTTATATTAAAATTGTAAAGCTATCAAATAAAAACTTAAGAAGAGTAAGGGTAATAATACCAATAGAATTCAATTGAAACAAGTCAATCACCAATCTTAAACAATTACAAATAATTTTACCTTTAAATCACGAATTTACAATCAAAAGAACTCACAAATATATAAATTAAATCCAATTCAAAGGTGGGTACAATAATTAATATCAAAGCAAATAATTAAATATCACACATATAAAATTAAGAAAAAAAATTGAGGGTGGGCCAATGCCCCTGGCCCACACATTGATGTGCCTTTACTTGACGAGCAAAAATTCAATGCAACGGTAATATCACGTCATCACTGTCACGTGATATCATCATTTAATTAGAAAAATTATAAGTCGATAAAGTGAATCTCACTATTTTCATAATTATCAATAACCATCACATCCAATCAACAACACATAAGATTAATAAAATTTATTTTATTTATTTATTATCTTCTAATTAGATAGTGACACTATTTGATAACGATGACATAGTTTAGTTTTTATCATTTACATGGCCAGTTAATTTCAGGCCGGGTTAAAAACAGAAGCGTTAAGTTTGGTGTTAACGATCAAAGTAAAATTTTGTTAAATTCTATATGAATATGCTATGATCACGGAAGAAAGTAATCATCGAACAGTCAAACTAAAGAAAACCTAACATTGAGATTTGGAATGTCTTAAGATAACAACCCTACGATTGCTGATGAGAATGACTTCTTTATTGATGCTCTTACACTAGAGGCAATAATTTTGGGCAGTGGTGTCACATACTAATTGACCTTTATGTCATTATTTGAGTGGATAATAAAGTTTGCCCATGTGCATAGTCCTAATAAACTCTTTTTCTTCTTTTTTTTCAGTTCAACGTAAGAGATATTCGAGTTATTTTATGTGTACGTCGATTAATTTTCTTTTCAACTCGGTCAAAATAATGTCTCAAATCAGTGGGAAGCTTACAATTAGACGAAGGAAAAAAGGGTCAATGAGATGGGAGTATATATTCATTATAATGGTAAAATTATGCCATCAATATTATGTGATATTACTATCTAATAAAAAATATAATAAAATAGATAAAGTAAACTCTATTTTCTTTACCTAGAATGGTCACCAAATGACATGGAGGATGATTACTATAATATTTATTATCTACTTTCTCACTTATTATGCTCTTATTGAATAGTAAGACCACGTGGCGTTAGACCTGTCAATCGTGTCCAACGAAACGAGTTTGTGACGAATTTTAACGGGTTTGTATTAAAAAATATTCTACTTGTACCCAATTTATTTATTCACTCGTGTCTAATGAGTCGTGTATTATCGAGTTCATGTCTTGTATCAATTGTAGATAACCGGCATATAAACGAGTCATATCGTATATTTTTTTTTGATTTATTTTATTGATACTCGATTTGTTTATTAATCATGTCGTGTTAGGTTCACTCGTTTACGAAATGGATAACTCTAATTTTGTGTCGTGTTTATATCGTATTAACAAATTTTAACACTCCTACGTGACGTCGATAACGTGATCGTCGCAATAAAAATTTTGTGCAAGGAGAGGAGGTATCTTTTTCTACCTTAACCCTCACGACACCGGGAATGTGGCCACAAGTAAAAGGTATCTAGTTCTAGGAACAAATGAAAGGACTTCAAAGTTAGGAACATGTTTTGACCAAATCCAAAAGCAGCCAAAAATGTAAATCTACAAGAATTTTCCTGCCATTTGCTTTACCGTTGAGCTCACTGCTCAGGATCAATAAAGTTTTAATCCTCTGATCAAACAGACAAAGATGAAAAGATTTCTTTCTACAAGGGTCTTAATACTATATTGAAAAATAATTTTTTGATATCGTCTTTTATTTTTTAGTCAATAAGTATGCGTCTCGTCTATAACTTTCTTGTTTTATGATATTTTTTATTTTATTATTTTTTTAAACAAGAATTACATATCATTAAATTTAAAATCAATGTTTTAGATCGATAGGAGTAGGTAACGAAGTAGTCCTATCCCTATCTACACATACATAAGACTGTGACACAGTTGCCCTGCCAACCTTTTGATAGGAATTTAATGATAACTATCCCACACCAACCTATTGTATGCTGATCATCTGCCAAAAACCTAAGGCCTCTCTCTCTCTGTCTCTCTCTGTTAAGAGCTAACCGTTTTCTACTCTTTTTATGTGCAGTGTCGGGTAGGTAAGGCCAATCGAATTGCAGTTGAAATTTGACATTAGCTGCCACCAAATTACTACACATATAGGGACGGATCTAGGAATTTAGGATGGGGCAAACTTATATTAGGTGACTACCCTTGAAATTTTCAAAAATGTCTAGTGAGAGAAAGGGGAGAGACAAGCATATAATTTGGGAGTAATCGACCCATTTTTCATTTCTTAATGAGTGGTTTGGTATGATAAAAAATTAGAAGCACCGAAAAGTAGAGGAATAAAAAGAAAATGTGATCAATCTTTCTTCAATCCTACGGAAATTTTATTCTCCGAAATTAAGCATAAAAGTAAAAAGAGAGTTAAACATGTGTGTTCAAATATAATTTATTATTTTTATATATCTTAATATTCTATCAAATATGTTAAATAAGTTATTTTCAATGTATAAGGATATAATGGTATATGTAGATACACTTTTACATTTTTCCATTTTTTTTATTCATATCAATAAAAAAAAATTTGTCCCTTCTACTTTTCTCCTTTTCCAAACAAGAAGGTCGAGAAGGATCTTATTTAAAAATAAATTCTTTCTACTTTCTTCTGCTCCACTTTTTTCATCAGCCTTACCGAACATACCAAAAGAATAATTATATTCCAAAGATAATAATAATAATAAATTGTTTTAATCTCAAAACTAGAAGAAGCATCTTTTAGCTTCAAGTAGAACCGAAAACGTTCAAGCCGGCTATGTGATAACATGACAAAATCTGCCTTCTATATGACTAAACTCTTTTAAACTTACTAGGGACGAAGACTAAAGAACAAACAGCTGAACTAAGACAACTGCCAATAAACCTAGAACATGTCCAGTTCAAAAAAACAAACCTTGAACATGCTACGTGGCAGAAACCCGCTTAGGTATAGACACAAGCATATCGTAACCTGACACCTTAAACACAAAGAAGATACCACTTTCTTTTAAAAGAGAAGAGGTCGAATAACTATAGCATTAGTTTCGACCCCTCACAGAACAATGAAAGAATCTTTGAGAGGAGAGGAGAGGAGAGGACCGTCTTGTCAAAATGCTAAAAATATAAATGAAATGATCTATTAAACTTATTTAATAAATTTTGGTAAAATTAATCTGACACAAATGTAATAGGACTAAGTGATATTTTCATCATCAACGTTCCACTCCATATGTATATATCAATATGCATGCATATTAATTATCAGAAATCTTCCGAGCATAATCGTACCTGGTGGAACCCACGTTCTTTAGTGACAGAAACACCAAGCTCACGCACACAGGCCGACACCCTCTCATCAGAGCCGTAGAAATTGTGATACCTGTCCAGACAACCGTCCAATACTTTGATCAACTCAGCAGCTAACGTATAACTAATTGCGAAACCCCCACCACCAAAGGCCGTATCATACGAATGCATCACATTTTGCTCCACACTCTCGGAATTCCCGCCAATATAGTGCATCTGACGGTGATCATACCTCGCTAACACCGAAACTAAGTTATCAGTGAAAAACACCGTATCATCATCTCCCATCACAAACCATCTCACGTTGGGTAATCCGACCCGAAACGCGTCCAAGATAACACGGGCGAGCCGGACCGCGGATTGAGAGGAAGTGTACTTGAACTGTGTCCAGTCGGAGGAGACCCGACAGGGAGGTGAGTTTTCGGGCCAAATGGTATTCACGTCGGGTTTCTGGTCAAGCCAAACGAACCCACGTGTGGTGTTTGGCTGCCACCAGAGTTCGCTGTATTGTTTCCGGTCCTTCCATGTCTGGGATGACCCGCCAATGCCGAAAACAATGTGGGAAATGTTGGTGGGTCCGGGATTTTTGCCCGACACACCGCAGTGTTGAGAGATTCGTGAGATGTTTAGGGTCGGCTTATGGCATTCGGGGCAGCTAACCAACCGGGTTTGGCTCACAAACGCCGAGTAAAAGAAGAGTGAAATGGAGGCGATCAGGAGCACCAACAGAACACCTTTCAACGACGTCGTCTGACGATCACAGCTCTTCTCATTGGAACAGGTGAAGAGTTTGAAATGCTTAAACGGGTCGTGAACGGGTTCTCGGGTCTGTGACATGTTCAAGAAGAACCAGCACGAACCCAGAAATTTTTTGACGCTGAAAAAGGCCTTATTCAATGAAACTTGCCTTCCTCGTATGAGAATTTTGTTTATGGAGACTCGAAATCTTGTGGGTCAAGTTTCTTGATGTTCTTTGTAATGAAGTGTCCGTACAATTAAGAGGGTGTTCTGTTGAAAAGGAAATGCAGAAACGTTTGAGAGAGAGAGAGAGAGATTTTCTGCTAAAGCCAAACACAGAAAAGGCATTAAAAATGGTGGAGGAAAGATTGTCCCATATGACGGTGAAAATATTTGCCTGGAACACCACGTCATTATCATTTTATAGTGTCATCACTTAATGAGAATATAATAATAAGTAAGTGAATTTTATATATTATAAAAATTACCCGTCTATGCCATTTAATAAATTTATTATTAAATTTACTTAGTGCGGGCTTTTGGGCCTTTTTGGGTTATTGTCGGGTCAGTCCATGGTCAAACTTGTCATATCTTATGAAGATTTTTGAGAATCTAATTTGTTTTTTAAATATTTGAATCTATTATAGGTCCTCTATTAAAATTTAGAATCTTATACATGTTACTCATCTATCATTGTATTAAAATAAATTAAAGAGAAGGGATAATGAAGGGAATCCGAATCCCCTTAAAAAATGTCACTTTTGTTAATTATCTTTGAGGAATTTGGGATTTAGTTTTTCTACATTTATGATTTTTTTTCTTGGGCTAGTCCATTATGATTTCTTTCTTAATTTGCTATCTCATTTCCTTTTCCATTTTTTTTTTTATTAGATTCTATATATATATATATATTGCACGGGATAGATCCTGTAATATCGTAAGGTAGCGATCCCTTGACTGACAAACCTGAAAAAACGGGATTAGAAGAAAGGGGGTCAGGCGTGAGCCCAATCAATCTCCTCCGAAGCTCAAGTCAGTAAGATCAAAGGGATGTTTTTTAGTCAATGAGCTATAGTTTGATTTTGCATACCTTTGTCCATTTTTCTGAGGGATATTTATACCTGAATTAACAATGATTGTTTTAGATCTTCAGTCTCATCTGAACGTCTCACATCTGACACACCATCTCTCGTGCTGTGAATGTTTCCCCTTTACACCTCCTCGAATTGAATGCTCGGGGAATGGTATAAGTGCTCGGCCGCAAGCCGAATATTTATACTATGAGCCGAGCAGCCCAATCCAAGAGGTCGGCGTCTGACACCGACAGGGCACGGACTACTCGGTGGATCAGAGAACTCGGGAGAACCAATCACGTTGTTGCGGCGCATCAGTCATTAATGCTCCAATCATCATGACAGTAGGCATAGACTTGCAGAGAGTAATTGGTGGCAGCCCCCGCATTTATTTGTCTTGTCACTATCACTCATCTCGCCATAAATGCAAGGTCACATCGCTTTGACTACAATGTCAGCTGTTGTACTCAGCCGCTCTGTGTCACCATGTCTCGGCTCACCCCCTCAGCATCTTCCAGATATCCTAATGACTTTATTGGGCCACGTGTCACCCTGGGAGTTGAGGATCCACACAGGAGTCCTGCCATATATATATATATATTATAATGTTTGGAGGTGTTTTTTAATGTTTCAATGCATTTATATAATTGTTTTGGAATGTTTGAAAATGTTTTAAGATATTTTAGAATATGTTTTAATCAATATTTTAGAAAAAAAAATATTTTTTTTATTATGTTTCCGAAATAAGTTAAAACGTTTTTGAAACACATTGATACGTTTTCGTTTCTTAAATTACTGAAATAATATACTAAAACAAAAATTTTGATCCTATTTACAATCCACACCGAGCTGCCCTTTGCCACCTTATCACCCTTTACTACGAAGCTTATAGTTGGGAGTGTCAATCATGTCATGTTATTGTTATTCGTATCGTGTTTATATCAAGACCTTCAAAAAAATATATATTGTGCATTTGAGTATTAAACATTAATTTAAACTATTTATTATGTATATTTAATAATCGTGTCAATTTTATAAATATATGTGTCGAGTTCGTATCCGATTCATTTCAACCAATCAGAATTAAGACGCATACTTCCAGTCCCCTTATTCGTGTTAGGGGGAGAGTATTTGAACAAAAAAGATAAGGAATAGTGTGAAGTTTGAAAAATAATTATGAAAAGGAGGTTTGTTAAAGATAAGAGGAGTGATTTGTGGAGGAGTGGATATGTGTGCAACTCCGTACAATTTGATTGGAGGATTTTTTTTTTTTAATAAATAAAAAGTTAAGTGTTTTTTAGAGTGCAAGACTTTTCAAGCCCTCTCCGTATAATATTTTATTTTTATTTTTATTAATATAATATTTATTTATTATATAAATGGTCTCATTTAAACTCGATACAAATCTATGACGAAATTATAGTTTAGGCTTTCAAAAAAATAGAAAATTAGAAGTTAGTTTAGTTTTAAAAACTTTTATGTCAATAAGTACAAGCATCAACTGTTTAAACCTTTAAAGATGTGTGATTGTATCATATTAGTTGTGTGGTCTATAATTATTACTTTTTATATCTTTAGTGGCAAGAACATCATTCTTTCAATTAGTCTATCTATTCTTACTCTTTCACTCTCTTCTATCTTTCACTATACTCTCTCTCTTACCTCTCTTCCTTAAATTCTTTTCTCTCTTTCATCCTACTATTTATATCCCCTCCCTCTTCCTTTAATTTACATCTCTTTTGTAAGTTTCTCTTATTTAGATTCAGATTCGTATCTCGTGTGGATCACCCTATCTCTCTCTTCCCTCTCTATTTACATATTTTATAAAAATTTTGTCTCTCTCTCTCTGTTTTCAATCTATTTTGTTAGAGCTTGACTAAAACTCTCCAAGTGATTTAATCTTTAGTTATTTAGTATTAGTTTGCAATTATAAAGGGGTACAAGCTTTATACTTCCATCGCAGAAAAAAAAATATTAGCAGAGATGTCATTTTTAATAATTAAGAAAGTGATTATTAGAAAAGTGATTTTTGCCGCGTGCACATAAAATTCTTCAAAGATATTATGTGATAATAATTAATAAGTCAGCTATTGCATTGTTAAAAAATCAAATTTTTCATTAGAGGACCAATCATATTAATGTCAAATATCATTATATCTGTGACTTAGTTATGGCGAGATTGAAATTTTGTATTGTCGGTTCAAGGATCAAGTTGTAGATATTTTTACCAAGCTACTTAAATTAGAAGCATTTATGAAATTGAAGCAAAATTGAAGTGGATGATGGGAATGATCAAGATTAAAGAGTTTGGTTCAAGGGAGACTTTAGAGTTTGACCCAAACTATCCAAGTGATATAATCCTTACCTATTTGGTATTAGTTTGCAATTAAATTTTTAATGGATTTTAAGAGTTTTGAGTCTTTTCACCCATAGAATATTCTAGTTAACTTTAATGTGTTTTATTAGGATTAGTATTAGATTTACTTTTTTATCAAAGTAGTTAGCCGTGAACCTTGGCATGTATAAAATAACAGTAGCCTTGTTTGGCTTTCAAGAAAAATGCAGTGAGTTTCATCTTATTCCTTTGATAAATGTTTGCGTGTGAGATTATTTTGAGTGTTTAATTATTTTGAGACCCTACGTATTTTATCAATTCCTCTTTCTTTCTTTTTTCATTTTCTTCACTTACTCTCCTTCAATTGCTCTTTTTTTTTTTAATCTTACTCTTCAATCTCTGTTCTCCAACTTATATTATTGAAAGGTTATGTCACTTGTTAATTTCAAGAAAATCAATCTATTATTGTTATAAATACAAATAATTCATGGTGGTGATGATCTTGCACGGCTCATATCATTAGTATTTGTTGGCTCCATTGGTAATAAGTATGGAAGGTTGATTTCTCGACAAATTTCATTCAATTTCTTTAGTTTGTTTAGTCATTCTTCACTCTATCTTTCTAAAATCAAAATGATTGTGAATTTTCATTGTCAATGTCCATATGAACTGTCCATTGACAACAATGAAATCAAGGATAATCATTGTGTGAAAAAATCGTGGATTCGAACCTTGTCGTCCATCTGACAAAAAAAAACCTTACAATACCCATATTCGAATAAATAAAATCAGTAATAAGAATGTGGACAGTAATAAAATTGGGCCAAACCTCTGCGGCATGATGAAGAGCCCGTGGAAGGCTGAGAAAGTTCTCAAAGAGTGGGCTTCTCCAAGAGTTCGACAATGTGGGTTGCGGCCCCATCCAAGCTCCCAAATGGGCCCCTTTTTATTTTATTATTATATTATATTTTTGAAAAAAAAAACCAGAAGAATTGATTTTAGACTATATCTCCAATAATTACACAAAATAAACTTAATATTCTTATATTGATTTAGACGTGTCCAGAGTTTATCTATATCTATTCTATATTATCTATATATACTACTAATAAAAGTACTTTAGTATGAAAATTTTTGATTCACTATTTTACCCTCATAAATAATTAAAAAAGTCAATTTATCCTTCCACACTTAATATCTAAATTACAATCATATCCTTATGCATTTAAATCTCCAAATTACATCTAATATCCCTATGTATAAATATCAATTTTTTAATTGATTATATTACTCTTAAAAAATATGTGCATTATATATATAATTTTATAGAATTTTTTAGCTGCAGTAAACTTTTCAGACTGTATTAAGATTTTATTTGAAAACTTTAATTTTTTTTAAAAAAATTAATATGTTTTATAATATATATTATAGCATTGTATATTAAATTTTATTCCAAATAACCTAGATAATCCTAAATACAGTAAGATTCTAATATGATTGGTATATTAATAATTATTTCTATTTTATTGAATGATTTGTACGTTAAATCTTAATCAAATTAATTTTCTAATTATTTATTCTCTATTTATAAATGTCAATTTTTATGAAAATTTTAATTGATTATATTATTCTTAAAAATATATATGCATTATTTTACGTTTTAACAAAATAGTCAAAAAAAATTTCAAAAA